GCAGGAGAAGATGGGGCCTGTTATTAAAAGATGACTTTAGTGTAGACCAGGATAGTAGCAGTCATAAGGATAAGTGATAATGGTAGGGTGTAGGGTTTATTATTACTTTGGTGCACAGTAAAGCCAACAGGACTAGCAAATAAATTGGATATAGGGTATGAGAGACAGTGGTTACATTTTTATTTTCTGGCCCAAACAAGTGGGTAAAATGGTGCCATTAAATGCAATGGAGAAGACTGGAAGAGAAGCATTTTGGGAAGGAAATACTCCAGAGTTCTGTTCTAGCTATGTTTGGTTCAGATGCTGATTAGATGGACAAATGAGGGAGTAAGGAAACAGTTGGATATAGTCATCTGAAGGGCAAGGGAGAAGTCAGGCCTGGAGGCAAACATTTTGCAGCCATCAATATAAAGTCATATGCGAAGCCATGGATTGGATAGCATGACTTAGGAAGAGCTTGTAGAAAAACCAGATTAAGTCCCAGGGCAATCTTCTCTTTATTGGCTTACCATCAATTTTGTCTTCAGCATTATCATGAAAATTGTCATGATCACTATCATTATTTATTGAGCACAAAATATTCTAGGCACAATTGTGCTAGGCTCAAGAGAAACATAGGGATGAAAAAAGAATCACTACTGTAAGAAGGAGAGGAAAGAAAACAGTGAAAAGTTGGAATAATAAAGGCTACAATGGTGGTTAACTCAGGGGGCTGTGCAGGCAACAGACTCAGCAGGCCAGACAGGCTTTGACAAGGAGGTGATATCTGAATATCCAAATTGGATGTGTGGATCTAGAGCACCGTGAACCATGGATAAAGCCTTTCCAGGCAAAAGACAGCATTTGGAAAAGCGGGAGACACGAAAGGGCAGGAGAGCCCCCGAGGCTGGCAGTAGTTCTGAATGAATGTGGTGCAGGGAGTGGATGTGGCAGGAGATGAAGTTGAGAAGTAGCAGCATCTAGATCGCCAAGGCCCATGAATAGCACACCGGCAAGGTTGAAACTCCATGTGGAAGGCAACGGGAGAGGGACAAATGGTAGGACCAGATGGATTTTAGAACAGAGCAGGATCTAAAGCTAGAGAGGACAGAATTCAAATCTTGGCTCTACTACTTACTAGTGTGATGACATCAGAGATATTGCTTGACCTCTCTAAGCCTTAGTTTTACATCTGTTCAATGGGTTAAACAATAAATACATGGCAGGGTTGTTGTGACTATTGAAGACAATAAATGTAAAACACTTGTACCCAATGGAAAAAAATATAAGTGGTGGTGATTATTTTTGCTATTATTGTTACTTTTATTAACAGACATAATTTTTTAAAAGTTTCTTTTATAGAGGAAAAATTAGAGAATGCTGATACCATAAATTACTATATTAATGTAGATAAAAATAATGAGCCCTTGGTGATGGGGAGGAGGGGACAGAAGTGAGTGGGTTTTCCAACCGACAGGCCAGGGGAGGAGTGAGGGGGGAGGAAAGGGAGAACTGTCAAATGACTGTCGGGTTTCAGAACTAGGCAGTTGAGTAGGGTGGTAGAGAATCTTTTTGAAACTGAGCATATTGGAAAATTAGGATGTTTTGTGGAGGAGGAGATGAGTTCATTTTTTTATGTATTATTTTGCACGATCTGTGAAGCTTATTTTACAGTTCTGGAGCCCAACAGAAGAAAGTTGGGCTAGAGATAAAGATGTGTGTAGGTAAGATGGACAAGGGAGAATGTATTGAATGAGAATAAAAGAAATGGATTATATAATCCTGGAGAACATTGGAATGTAAGGATGGAGCAAGAAGTGTCATAGAGATTAAGAGGAAGCAGGCAGAGCAGTAGAGAAAGATGTGGAAGGGCATGCCAGGGGATGGCTGGGCATGCCGGCCCTCCATGCACTTGCTTCTTGTTACAGGAAGGAAGCATTCCCTTGGGCATGACTGATTCAAGTTCAGAGTGGGAAAGGCTGAACCCAGGGAAAAATCATGAAAAGTTTGGCTTCTTCCAACCTCCCTTTCAGTGTGGTGTTCTTTATTTCTGGCCCCTATACTCCAGCTGTTGGCTCTCCTGGGTCCCACACAGGACTGGGGGATTATGGAATGCACAGCTGAAAGGGACCTCAGGATGATCTAACTGAACTCCCAGCTCCTTTATACGAAAGGTTAGAAAACTGAGCCTCAGAGAAGGCAAGATATTCAAACAATTTATATCTTAACTGAAGATAAGTAAAGTGCTTTCCCAAGGATCTCTACTCAGCAAGGCTGCTGCTCCAAGTTATTCGGTGGTGGTGGCCTAAAGGGAAGGCCCCCTCTGGGGTTAACATCTCAACAGGACTCACATCCTGCCAAAGCCAAATCTAATGGTGGCAATCTGGACATCAGAAGCAAAGAATGGGAAAAATAAGGTCTGCCTCCAAACAAATCCATGTTAAATTCAAAATTGAGAAATATCTCAGAATTGGGAAATAGAATAGGAAATATAGAAGGATAATATGGTTTTCCAGGATTATCCTTAGAGGAAAATGACCCTGCAAAGGATGGGAAAAGGAAAAACCACATGTGAATTTTTTTGCTGCTTCTAAGATCCAAAGAATCAAAGGATATTATTCCATGTAGCATCAAAGATGTTTCTATTGTTTTATTCAGAAAAAATCAGGCTGGGAGGTGGGCCAAAAAGAGGTGATGGCCTAAATCACCTAGTAGGTCAGCATCATTATTTCTACTCTATTCTAGAAATTAGTTCTTGTGACAGAGATGGCTAATTGCCTACCCCGCATCTATTTTCCATTTTCTCCTTAGGAACAGAACTCTGTGTTTTAGCTGGATGTATTCCTATATAGCCAGAAGAATTCATTTCCTAGACTACCAATGGTATAATGGGTACACATAAAAATAAAGTGTTTTTAACAGGAAAGATATCCATCCTTCTTTTCTTTCTCTATCCAACTGCCTTTAACATCAACACAATGGCCCTAAATGTAGTAGCCATCTTGGCCTTGCAAGTGCAGGCCACAAAGGAGCCACCTACACCAGTCCTGGACTTCTCACTTCTGAACTTCCCTTACACGAGAGAAAAATAAACTTCTATCAAGGTTAAGGAACTTTGTTTTATTAATGCATCTTAACTTAATCCTTACTGACAAACTTGTTTTCTTTTACTGGGTGTTGAGCTCTTATTAGAGTAAATGCCATTGGTGCTACTAACTTAAAGAGTATGATCAGGAAGTGATATTTAAAATAATTAATTATGAGTTTGTTACATAAAAAAGAGTACCTTAAATTTGTAGAGTGACTTACATTTCACAAAGCACTTCTCATTTTATTCCTAAAATACATCTGTACTTTAAAACTGAATTGTTTAAAATAGGACTTTTAAAAATAGCTAAAATATATATTCATGTCATTATGGTGATTTCTAGTTGAGCCACTTATTACCCATGTCCCTGGAAACATGAAGTATTTGTCAGAGTCCCTGACACACTGTATGGGCTGAAGAAGTGTTAGAGATTTTCCCCAAACTGGCTAGAATGGAACCTTGATATGTCAGGGCAGCTCACCAAGCTGTATTGCTCCTGCTGTACAGCCTCTGCAACTCTTAGACATCTCAGAAAAATGTTTATAATTATGGTGAGTATTGGAGTAAGTGAAGGTTTTGGCTCTGCTCAATGGTCCTGAGAAAAGGAGACAGGCCCAAGGCTGGAATTAGAGGAAGAACCTGGCCACCTGCCACACCCCTCTTCTGGGCCAGGGAGTTCTGAGCCAGCAAAAGAGCTTTGCACACCCACAGGCGAAAATCCATTTTGTTCTGTATCCTACATGCACCCCAGGGGCATGCTAGAGTCACAGACTCAGACTACTATTTGGGATTGAGTCAGCCTCCAAGATCATTGAGAGAATAACAAAATCTTTGGGGGAGTCTCCAGGGGTAAGTGTACCAGTCACCCAGACAGATGACCAGGGCAGATGGGGAAGCCAAACAAAACCCCACGTGGCCAGGATGACACTGTGCAAGCCAACAGGAGATGGGCTCTGGCAGAGGCAGGAGACCCTTGAAGAAGCACATGCATATAACCAGTGCAGACAAGGAGTTCAGGGCACCTGGGGACCCCAGAAATGAAACAGATCAAGGCAGTGCCAGGAATATGAATTGCTTGCCTCACGCTGGGGAGAAGGCTTGCAGAAAGCATCTGCTGGGAGGCTACAGCAGCTGTCCTGAGTTCTCAAGGAGGCCCCTGCCCAGGACCCCCGCATTATCACTTACGGGGGAGGGAGGGACCTTAGGTAAGTCATTGAGGGTACAGAATAGGGTTGTGCTCGAGAGCAAAGCTTCTGGAACTGGACTCAGGCCTGGATCTAATTCACTAGCTCTGTCACCATTATTCAGCAAGTCACATAGCCAGTGGATGCCTCCATTTTTGCATCCATAAGGTGGATACCATGATACCTGTACCTACCTTATGGCATTGCTTTAGGGTAGTGCTGGTCAATAGAACTTTCGGTGATGACAGTAACGTCCTACATCTGTGTAGTCCAAGATAGCAGCCACTAGCCAGGTGTGGATGCTGAGTACTTGAAAGGTGGCTAATGTGAATGAGAAACTGAATTTTAACTTTTATTCATTTGAATTCATTTAAATTTAAATAGCCACATGTGACTAGTGGCTATCTTATTGGACAGCTCTAGGGACTAAATGAGATAATATCCTTTATCACTATGCCTGGCAATCAGGGCTCAAAAACTACTAGCTGGTGTTGATGTTAAACTTCGTAAAGTCTCAGTTTCCTCATCTGTGAAATGGGGTTCAGGATAGAACCTACCTTGTGAGGTTGTTGGGAAGATTAACACCTTGACTGCCACACACAAAAAACAGTTTTCCTTGGGGCCACACTGTTTTATTACAAAAATAGAATAAAAACTTTGAGTGTACTTTAAAGGTAAACATAAATAGAAAAATGAAATTTATTGAGTTTTATTCATTAAGCCCACGTTTTTAGAATTAAACTGTCAATATTAATTGTAACAATAAGAACACTAACAAGTAAGATTTTATATATGCTTCACATAGCCCGGGGTCAACATTAGAGTGAGTTAACTACAACTCTCATGGCAGTTAAAGTGTTAAAATATTCTGGGTGAGACAGCTAGCACAGTGATTGGCACATTGCAGGTACCTCGCAAATTTGAGTTCCTTTCCTCTTTCATTTAAAGTTCTTTAACACTGTGGAATAACTGTCTGATAAGGAAGGTACAAGGCCATTGAGAACCTATAGTGAGATTCTCACCAAGCAATTGGATTGTTCAGTAGTCACGTGCACATCTCTAATGCTGGCTTTGGCTGAAAAAAACAAAGTCTGTTTGAGCAAGAAAGAAAAAAAAGTTGGCAATGATACATGCACTACGAGAGTTCCACAAATATGCATTTGGCAGAAGCCTGACTATCCAGACAGATCACAAACCACCAGGCCACGCACCTGCTAGACGACAGGGAATGTTATTACTGTTATAAAGATATGATTTACGAGTAATCTATACCCCAGGCAAAGACTCACTTATAGCAAACCTATTGTCCAGACTAGTCATCAACGCTCCAACTGGGGAAATGACAGCACTGATTGAAGAGACAGCAGAGGAGGCCATGGAATTAAGCAACACTTGACCCCACGGTCCATGGGAGGCTGAGCCCCAAGACAGGAAAAGGCGCTGTGTTGTAGCTACTTATCCAGATGTTGCACAATGGCCTGTGTGGCAGAAGGAAGCAGAACAATCGCAGGTGCGTTGGTCTCTGAAGGAGTGGCTGCTTCAGCCTTCTAACAGCAAGGGGGATTTTTAGGCAATGATTGTCCTGAAAGAAATAAGAAAAAGAGAAGATACGTGATCAGAGACAGTTTTGGGAGGAGGAACTTTGCTTAAGCCCCCAAATTATTTCCGATATCTACTCACTGGTTCTTGGAGTTCCAGCCAGAGACTGGGTTCTTTTGTTTAAGGTTGTCCTGTCATAGGCGAGCTGATGTTAGATTTGATTCCAATTACAATTTTTAATTCTTGGGCTGTGATACCTTCAAACCTTATAAGTGATTTACTAAGTTTTCAGGAATCACTAAGTGATTCCTGAAAAATAGGGAGAAGTGGGGCAATAGCCTAAGTAAGTGGGGTTATCAAAGTGATTTGTGTCATGGAGAGATGATATTTATCCCGGGATTGGTAGGAAGGTATTGAAAAGGAGAGGTTTCCCTTCAGGGTTGTACTGTGGAAACCACATTTATTTCATGGGAGATGACAAAAGTGCTGTCATAGTCATACGAGAAGCTTTTTGAGGACAGAACTTGAATCCTCTCCTCCTACTTCTCTATCATCGCCATCACTGCCATCATCACCATCATCATGAACTACCTTGCCTCAGTCAGCTAGGTGACTTACAAACATGTAGTTTATAGTTCTCACAGCAACTGCCGCTAATAATGTAGGTATTGTTCGTCCCATTTTACAGATGAGGAAGCTGAGGCTCAGATGGTATAACTTGAATAAGTCAAGGTCACATAGCTACTAGGTGACAGATCCAGGATTCAAATCCAGATGTCTCCCACACAGGCCCATGGTTTATTCATTACCAAACTGCCTCTCATCATTAAAAAAACAGCACCCTCCTTCTGTCTATAGCACCCAGCTCTCTGCTTGCAGTAGATGCCTAATGTGGCTGGTGTGAGGAACTGAATTTTTAATGTTATTTAATGTTAATTAATTTAAATAGCCACACATGGACAGTGGCTACCTTATCCAGCAAGGCTCTAGGAACAAAACAAGATAATGTCCTTTATACTGTGCCTGGTATTTAGATGAAGCTAAAACTGCCAGACCTTCATTACATTCTGATGTCTAGAATTTGTTGGCTATAATCCATGGACAAGTCCACCCCAACCCAACTGTTATTTCAATAACCTAATTGAGACCAGACAATAGTGAGTAATAAGTTACTCCTGCTCTGTGGTTTTTCATTCTCTCATACTAATTTACCTATCTTTTCCTTGTTTTGAATTTCCTTGTTTCTTTGTTTACAGCTGCTGTAGTAGCTATAAACCCTGTGGTGTGAAAGCCAAAAATAGTCTTTAAGCTATTTTTGGTATTAGGTGGTATTAGGAAAGGTATGCAAAATGATGTTATTACCTAAATATTAATAGAAAATTGTAGATATTGATAAACAATGGTTTTGAATAGTGATTTATGACTTTGACACTTTCATATGCTTTAAAACATTTAGTACCATTCGTTACATTCTCTACCTATCTCCAAATTCACCAACTCTTTTTTTACCTGTTAGTTCAATGTCTTTTCCTATATGCATTCTTTTATTATAGGCTACTTCAAATACTTGAAGAAAAAGTCAAACTCTAACCACATCACACTAATCAAAAAGTAAGTGAACCCACAAATAAAATGACACACAGACTCAGGAAAGACAAGGAGAAACAGTAAGATCGGCTATTGGAAGGAATCCCCTTGAACTTGCTTTGGTAGGCAGCACCAAAATAATATTTACTGTAGAGCACAAATGATACAGGCACAGTCTGTGTTGTCCCAGGGGACAAACAACGCAGACACAAAGATTCTGAGTCAGCACACGCAGACCGGTTGCTTCTACTGACATAGCTGCTCAGGCATCTGCATGGATTGGGGCCAGAGCTCGGGGTCCGTGCAAGCTTGCTTGCCAGGAGGACAGAGATGTGCCCCAAACCCACAGATCACCTGCTGCTTTGTTGTTAACTGCCCAAGCTCCCCTATGCATTGACTGTGCCATAAAATTGCTTTTGTTTTGCTTAACTTACAAAGAAGTAGAAAATGCATCTTTTTAACTACTTCTTCAGATTTCAATTTTTTCCCTCTGTTATACTTCAGATCATCCATTCCAAACCATTTTATTCGACTTAATGTCAATAGTATGAGTGCTAAGTGTTCTTACATACATTATCTCATTTAGTTTCTCAAAAGCCTGTCAAAGATGTGCAATTATTATATATTATTCAGAAGAGAAAACTGAGACAAGAGGGGAAATAACTTGTATTCATTTGCTTCATTGAACATGTATCTAAGCCTATTGTATGCCAGGCACTGGACTTACTGCCTGCCCACATTACCTCCTTTGATCTACAGAGCTATCCTAGAAGGTGGGATTTATTCTCGTTAGTTTAGAAACTGAGACTGAAGGAATTTGTTAATAAATAGCATGTCTGCAGTTATCAATAATAGTAAACTACTATAGAATTCCAGGGAAATTCATGGAACCCATGTCTACCTAACTCTAAAGGCCATGGTTTATGTGGACAGATACGAGGTGTAAGACATATAGTTTCATAATTTTTTACCCATTCCTTTACTTAAATAAATATTATGCCTAAAATTTCCTGCAGTAGAGGAACAGGGCTTCCCTCCCACTAGCTACCAATATTTTATGATAATTATGATGTAGCCAATTACTTCATTATAATTACTTCAGTTCAATATTTCAGTAAACATGAGACATCTATTTCCAGTGTTGTAACTCTGCAAATTAAACTGAGGTTCAGAATGGCCTTAGAGCCCACTATTTGAAACTGCAAAGCTCAAATCATGCTAAATAAATATTATGACCAACTGTGCTATCCAGAATGCTAAGATGACCGTTGAGCTGGGTGACAAAGACCAGAAGTTCACACAAACCTCTGAGAGTAACTGGATGAAGATAACAAACTTGGCTGCTAGCCTGTCCTTCAAAGTAGCTGGAAGTTTTGCCCTCTCCCTGCCCTTCCCTCCACCCCTGGGCCAGTGCAGGAGTCCTGGAGGGTACCCTGCCCCAAGTCTGGGCCCCCAGAAGCTCTGGTCCTGACAGTCCGTGGTAGGATCTTTCCTCTTAACCTATGTTCTTCTGATCAAAAACTCCCAAAGCAAAACCAATGTTTCATGCAAGGTGGATGGTGTCCAACTCCAGTGGACTCCATCCACCTTGTATGGAAGGAGAAATGGGTTCTATGACCTTAGCCCTTGCTTATAATAGCACCATTATCGTTTTACATGCATTGTATACTGGGGCACTCTGTGAGATTTAGTTTGAAAAAAGAATTGTTTGAAGGCCACAGTCTTCTGCATCGTGTGCCACCATCTTCATTTGTCCCTCCAGGCCCTCCCTTAGCAGGACCTTTTCCCACAGTCATTAGTTATGACACACAGTACTAAGACAGATATTCCTTTGTGGCTCATGGAAATGACTCCTAATATTCTAATATTTGGGGATATATCTAAACACCTTGTATCTTATTACCCTCAGGCCATTTCCCTGGCAGCAAGGCAGTCTTCAAAGGTCCACAAGCTCCCATGGTTGGCCCCAAGCCAGAGCCTCCTCAACTTGTGGGTCTGCCAAAGTGCCAGCTCCAGCCCTTCCGTGATCACGGGCCTACCTCCACCGTTTCTCTTAATTCAAACTCCCTAGGAGAATTCACTGATGGTTTACACCCACTGCATTGGTAGGTCACAGATTTAGCATCCACTCTGTTCCAATCATCTGTGGCCAGCAGGTAGCAACGTGCTGTGAATATGGTGCCTGGGCTTGTCCATTAATAGGAGCAGTGGGAAAGGAAAGTTCCCAGTGTTGGACACTAGTGTCAAGGTTGATATCCAAGATGAGATACTATGAAATTGTATGAAACTGTACAAAACCCACTGGCCTGAATACTTGTCTGTCAACCTCATTATCTTAAAATGCCTTTATTGTAGAGTCTGTATCTTACTCATGGTTTCACCCTCGGCACCTAGCATGAGCTTTGTATGTGGGGATTCAGTACACATTTGTAGGACAAATGAGTAGATGAAGCAGTAACTAAGGAGATGAGTGGTGGGGTGGACAGAGTACTCATGAAGAGACAGATAGAGACAATACAGTAGACTGGCTAAACAATGTGAGCTCTGCAGCCAGACTGCTTGGATTGAAACCCCGGCTCCATTGCTCACGAGATGTGTGCCTTTGGGAAATAACTTTTAGGGGGGCTCAGTTACCGCATCTTAAAACAGGAATAATAATAACATCAACCTCATAAGGCTTCTGTGACAATCAAAACGAGTTAATTCCTAGAAAGCACAGAGTATAACACATGGCATGTGGAGATTCCTCAATCAGTTTCTGCTATCACTGTTATTGTAACTATTATTATTGATGGGCAAAGTCTTAAGGCAGCAGGCATACTTGAAAAC